AAAATATTAGTAAAAGCCACACAATAACATTTAATTATAAGCCTACGGAGTACTGAAGCAACGTTTCCCACAGTTCTGTTCTGCGTATCTGTTTTTAGATCTCAGATTTCGGTACTACTGTACATGAACATAAACGCGCTGCCATTTTACCATGTTTTCAATCTTGTGTTCTCCTGAAACTTATAACAAAGTCTGACGTCAACCGATCATTAAAACAGCTCCATGCCCATTAACTACTCGCACAAAGAAGGAATTTCAGCTTATAACAACCTGTTTTTTTCAATACAGAATAAAATTCAAGAGACGTATCCATCACAATTCCTATGGAACATAATGCCACAAAATTTAGGGTGGGTTTTAAATTTTGTTTTAAGATTAAATTTTGACTTCTTATGTTTTAAGAGTCATTAACAACCAGAAATAGTTGCATCTACCTTTAAATCTCTAATCTGGCTGTTCGAAACGATGCAGAAACAAGGACGGTGGATTCTTAACCTTGAAGGAACGATGTGTGGCGGTCGAGTGGCAAAGCAGGGGGAAGAATCAGTAAAGTCAACGCTACCTGTGAATCAATCAACAACACTGCTGTTTGTATTCACTCACACTTCCAACAAAATGACTTTTCGCTACTGGTTTCATAGACAGAAATGACCAATGGCTTGCGTTTTACGTGTGAAACTTACTTTAATACGTTTCTCTGCGATTAGGGCATTGCAAATTCAGATAAAGTTACCAAATATGACGCTTAGAAATATTGTATACTATTTCTGTAATTTTTAAAATCCAGACATACGTTTCTATTGAAGTACAAACAAATCTTCTTCACTTCATGCCATTTATTAGTCAGTAAGGTCTAAAATACCAAGCTAAACAACTAAATATTATTTTTCCGTTTAAATCTGTATTATATAAAACACTGGATAGATATAATTTACTTGCTTCCAGAAAGGAGCTTTAGTTAGTTTGTGCGCGGACCTCGGGAGTGGAAACTTTGAAATTCCGCACATCAGCTAATTTTGATTAAATTTCATATGGATGTTCGTTTCATTTCTGTACAGATCTACGTTAAAACATTTTTTTTTACAATATGCAGAATATTTAGAAACATTTTCTCCTGAACTTGTTTCGAGATATTTTTACCTGACTGTATCGGAGACACAGGAAGAATATTTTGTAAACAGCTAACTCATAAAAACAATAATTTAGATTCTAGAAGCATTCTTTACAAGTTATACAGGAACTAGTTTCGTGTCATTTCATTGGAACCCAACCACCATAGGTACGAACAGTCATTCCGTCCTTGCTTAAAAGCTGTGAGGTATTATCAGCACGCTGGCATTTTTGCCAGCCGCCTCAAGAAACATCTCGATGTAATCACACGTTTCCGCTTGTGTCAAAACATTCACAGCTGAAAACAGCGAGCAGATGTGAATTTCATTACAACACGGAGTAGCGGTTCGGTCTACTGCACGGTAATTATTAAATTCTTGTCCAGGGGCGTGAGAATAGCAACGACGGAATATAATGTGGAAACGAGATAAAGCAGCCATGTTGTCTCATCGCACCTGAACAAATTTATTTTCTGTTCTTGAGATCGAGAATGCCATGCATGTGGATCGATTCTGGACCTCTCATTTCCTCCTCCTAATTATGCAAAATCACACGTAATAACTTACAAGACTCATTGCGTACATTTCTCAATTATTCATATTTCTCACGCATCATAACTTACTCCGATAAGGCACAGTTGCTTTTGAGACAATGCCAGTCTCTCAGGTAGACAAGAAACACCCCAACTTTTACAGAACCAGAACGTTTATACGAGCTCTACTTTGGTGACTATCACGAATCGAATTAAGTCTAAACCTTCCAGCAATATTCCTTTTTGTTCCATTTAAATATTATCCTCCCGCCTGTACCTATTTCTTCCAAGTGGTTTTCTCCATTCTTTCTGACCAAAACTGTATCGATTCATAAATCTCTATCATGCGTGCTACATGCCCCCAACCACCTCATATACGTCCATTTTTCTTGCTGCTATTGGTCTGAGATTGCGTTGTTTTCACTTCTAAATTATTTATCGATTGAGCTGGGGGAGTTGCCCTTTCTAATCAGGATGTGGAACTCCTTGGGGAAGTACGAAACCTTCTCCTGCTCCCGGCCGGTGAACCTCGCCCCAGGCCATGCTCAGAATGTAGCACCTCAACTACAGACGGAGGGGCAGTTGCATGAAACAGCAATCTAATTAAAACTTGACAAGGCACGCCATCCCGTCAACTTAATATCGTCATGACTATCCCAGCATCTTAGACACTCCGACAGGAATAAACGTCAATTACACATACCTTGAAAGCTTGATTTATACTTAAACGCGTGTTGGTTACGATAATGGAATGGGAAATGATTCTATTGAATTGCTTTCCTTAAACACTCCGTGTTATTTCGCGCTGTTTTATCCCGTTAAAGCCCAGCACTAACTACACAACACGTACCAAGTACTTCGACAATCAATAACTCAACATTTTTCCCACAGAGTTTATGAGTTTCGTATGATTCACACAAAATTAAAATAAATGCTAGAGAAAGAGAACTGGAGTGTGGATTGGATTAATCTGGCTCAGGACAGCGACCGATGGCGGACTCCTGTAAGCATTGTAATGAACCTTCTAGTTCCATAAAAGGCGTGGAATTTCTTGACTAGCTGACCTTACTATTAGCTAATTTTGTAATGATTTTAGCATTACATCCAAATCTTATATTCGAATCCAGAGTTTTTAATGAGTTCGCAGCTCTTAGAAACCAATAATTTTCGTAATAAAACACAATTCAGCGATAAATGAATTCAAAGCTTGAAAAATTAAAATTCACACCAGCTACCGACAAACTTATTATGTGTTCAAGAAGTACACATGCAGTAACTGTATAAACGCATAATTTCTGAAAATTACCTCTCTCTCTCTTTTATTATTATTATTATTATGAAGTGTAAAGTGGAAGACGAGGCATTCTAAATTAACTCCAAAAATATTAAAACTGATGCAATTTCTAGAGAAGCTTTCCAATCAAGAATATATTGTTACGTCAGCTGTTACAGCCTTTTCGTTCTCACGATTCCTGTGCAAACAAAATTAACAGAATGAGAATTCATGTAGGAAGAGCGAACATGAGGCTAAGAATGTTAGCGACCATTCTACTTGAGGATGGAGTGACACACAAAGGGTAGTAGGCTACAAGCAGCCACTGAGAGGAATCCCTGGTTGGGTAAGGAGCATAGTTCAAATTTTGCCCCTTTAAACCCCACTCGGAACTATATGCTACCTGCTTTAATAATAAACAACTCTACATTTTGCCCACAGAGTGTATTTAACGGGTTTCGTATGATTCTCAGAGTAAACAGAGGTTATTTCCCTAACCAGGACTGACTAACTGGTCGTGCTGTGTATCCTATACACCACATACAAAGCAGAAATGTCACTGTGGGCGGTAGGACCGAGTGACTTCAGAGCGCGTCACGCTAACGTGTATAAAAGCAAAGTTATCACTGTGCTTCAATATCCAGCCATAAAGGCGTACAGAGGTCATGTACATAAATAATAGCCTGCCACAAACTTTGGTATGGTACTATTTGGTTTACGTCACCTGATCCTTCAGTACGCCCACTTAAAAACTAAAACTTTAGCATTAAAGAGTGTTTCTTTATCTAAAATGTAACTTGCATCGCTATTCGCTGACAAAGGCCTACGTAAGTGTATGAAAGAGAGATCTTCATGCACATCAGATACAAACGTTACGTAGCTTTAAATAAAAGTAAGAAAACTTACTATGATTTGGAGAAAGGAGAAGTGGCAGGCCAGTTGAACGCACTGTGATGACGTTCGCGTGGAATAATTAATTAAAACGATACAAAACATCAGCACACACCACATGAGCTATCACAGCAGCCATTTCAGACCGGAATTTGAAATGTGAACGTATCGCACTGTTCGATCAGACCGTTCGATAGTATTAGGTTGGCAATATCGTGAAGTATGAAATCGGCTTTGAGCTTTCCGAACGTTCTGTTTATATGTGGCGCTGTTGTAATCAATTAGGCACAAAGTATTCTGTTAAGAATTACTTTTCAGTTACGTGCATTCACCTTTTGGCCTATATTATTGCATACACAAAAGATGTGGACAACACTTTAAACGGCCTACAAGATATAACAATAACTGTTTCGATTTCGATTTCGGAAGGTTTGCTTGGGTCCGAAAACGTTTTTTTCATTGCAAGCAAATGTAAATACATGTCTGTACTTTAATTATTTCTGTGCCACATAATACTTATCTTCGTGTGTTGCATGCCTAAAACGCTATATTATTTAAAAAGTAAGGATCCGATTCTATTTACACAAGCAATAACAAGCGAGCAGGTAATAGCGAGTTTACTTAATGACCTGCTCTCTGCTGGTAGAGGCTAGAACTTTTATGAGCCGAATTCCGACTCGAGTAACGTGATGAAAAGTAACAAGTTGTGCTATCTATGTGCCAAGTACTGAATTATGATTAATGAACGCACCCCCCCCCCCCCCCCCCCGCGCCCTCACGGACACAACCAGGTTCATTTTAAACTAATTTCAACATTCTTTTTCATTTTTCTATTTCCACTTCTGGAACACCTCCTTCATTTCCTTCATCATTTCCTGTAAATACCAACAGAGACGACACCATGTCAACAAATAATAAGTTATGGAAGACATGTTGGAAAGAAAACCCATTTTTTAAGAGGCCATGCCATAGCACAGGCAGTAATTCACTGATTTCTCACTGTGGAGGCCTAGATTCATTCTCTGGGCAGTCCATGTGGGATTTTTGATGGATGAAGTGGCAGTTCTTCTGTTTTCCCTGTCAGTATCATTCCACTAATGCTCCATATTCACTCATGTATCATGTGAGGGATGTACGATTGACCCATTCCAGGAAAACGTATTCTCACCCTATTATAAAAACAAAAAGAAGTCATTCGGTAAACACAACTCATTTTATTTAAAACAACAAATGCACTATAATACAAATGACGAGTACAAAACATACAGCCAATATGGTAAAAATTCAGTTTCACTGACGTACTAAGTATACTAATAAAAATTGCGTTATAATGGCACGTGAAACAGAGACTACACAAGGCTTTGCGCAATTTTAAACACGTTTTAGAGCTCGACAGTCTTTTCACTATTTCAACTCACCCGGTGGAGTAATTTAATGTAAAAACACATCACTGACAACAAATATACATGTAAATATATAAGATATGCTGACTGATACACGATATACTTTATACAACTGGTCATTGGTCATTATGCAGCGTTAGGACTTTGTCGTAACGCTGCTAGTTAAAAAATCAGAAAACAACGAAGTTTCTTCTATGGCAGTAAACATCAAATTTCGTTGTGCAATGAAATTACACAACAAAATTACTTACAGAGCCTGTAAATTTTACAGAATTTTATACAATTCATGCTAAATAAATTCTTTTTTTCCTTCTTAACTTACGATTTAAACTAACTTGCACGTTACTCAACAAGACGTAGCAGTTTCGGTGTCATATTTTAACGAAAGCCATTATTTACGACATAATTTCATGCCCTTAATCCAGAATGTTCACATAGGCGTCTATCGACCAATCCACGTGACTCCAGAACCCGGAAGAACACCATCATCACGAATGTTTATAGTAAATTTGTTCTATTGTGGTTCCTAAATTATACTAACCATTGACTGTACATAATACGCACGTTTATTTATTTGGATTGTTCAACGGCAGAGTAGATGTTAAGTCAAATTTGAAAGATTAAGTCTTAGAGTTCGTCATCGGGTGAACAAATATTAAATCGTCACATTAATATCTGCATTACCAATGTTATTAAATAATCATAACGGCTAGACCTTAAAATAAATAAAATTAAAATAAATATGTGCACATTTATGCATATCTGAAACGAACTTAACCTCAAAGGACAATACTAGCTCACGATAATGTTGAGAAACGTCCGTATATTTTGATTTAGTAACTGCATCACTTCCACTGCTACACACAGGAAGTATTAAATTATAAAATTATAAATACCATGTCTTCATACAAATGTTCACAGCATTACATATAACATTACATCAAATAACGATAAGTGATGATATAAATATCGTAATTTATATTCACAATCTGAAAATCCTTGTGTAATTCATTTACACAGAATCAATACACCTTCATTTAATCTATAGATCCACTTAGACTGCAGCTATTTAAAATGAGTACATGATCCATGAGACTCAAAATAACTACTAATACAACTGTTAAATGTTGATTACATGACCTACGTGTTGTATATGGAGGTTTGGACCGCGAGATTTGATGAAGTTCTACACGTCTGAAGTTACGTCTCCATATAAGAGAAATCAAGATCAATATATTATAAAAATGTACACCTCATTAATTTGTTTTAAAAATTCTGTAAAAATGTTTATTTAGTTCTATATATGAATGTTCGCCAATTTTAATTAAATTAATCTCATCACACTGGTATAATAGAAAATAATTGGAAAAGTAGTGTCAAAACATTAATAAGTATTCTTAAATTTAAAAAAAAACTGAAACAAAATCCATGATCATGAATTCCTGTTTATCAACTCACAGAATCACTGACTCGAGTACTCTGTCGTATGCATCGAGCCTTGTAAATAGGCGTGTACTTTCGTCTGCATTAGAAATTATTATAACTGTCGTGAATAAAATTGTTAATATGAGTTAAATAATTACAAGCCACGTCACGTGAAAAATATAAAATGATTTCAGACGGATTGTATGATATATGAAAAACTTGCAATGGTCTTCTAAATAATACAAATTTAGTCATTTTTCTTGTTTCACCGATGTAGCCATCACTGCAAACACGTAGAATTTCAGTCCACGCGTTTATGGTACGTCAAGTTTATATTACAAATATAAAATCAACAGTGCCATTTACGGCAACACAAAACGGGTTGTTTTACCTGAGACATTTAATTTGAATGTCATTAAACACAGAAGAAATTAATTTTATGCGAGAATTACTATACTTTAATTAATCTATTGAACTATCTTCTTGTGGCTTATAAAATGTGAGGTTATGTATTATTATCGCAAGCTTCTGTGGTACGGTCATGATCGTATGTGACTATCGATAACCACGCTAAAGGCAACATTATAAGCAGTATACTTTGTAAAATCCTCATAGTACGTAGTTAAAATATAAACACAACACCAAGCTCTAATATTGATAATAATATACATTTCTAGAGTAGCTTTTGTACTGGATTCAGTTTCAATAAAAAAAATTATTTGATAAAAATGATGAACTGCAATGAAACCACTCTCAAATATTTCTGTCTCACAAGCAGACTGATTAATTCCGTAAAATGAGATACCATATGAATGCCCTGTTTTCGGAAGTGGGCAAATTATTTCTTTTCCATAAAAGCTTTCTCGCTCATATGGGACTTCAAATCAGGCACCATCAAATATCTGTTCAGAGGGCTTCCATATCTCGGTAAAAATAAAGTTAATTCAATGGTCTTCAACTACGTATTTGTACAAGAAAGTTAAATTCGCTGTCTCTGTATTATTTTCAAACACAAGCAAAGCGTAAAGATTTTAAGTCTGGATAAAATTCCTTTTATATATGACCCTTAAACATACAAATGCCTTCGTTGGCACGTAAGACGCAGCAGATATGAATCCTGTGCATACGAAACAGCTTCGAAAAACAACGAACTCGATTATCGTCATTATTAAAAAAGACAGGTTACTACTAATTGTTTTTATCTTAAAAGAAAATGGATTGTTCCAATACGATTTATTCAAAAAAAATTGTGGAATCAAGACCAAGAAACAGAGAACAGAATTCCAAATAGTTTATTTCTTCACAACAGAGTAAAAAAAGTATTTATTTATCTCCCATTCCTGTACAGTACTTGTGACTAGATCATAATTACTTAACAAATGCAAAAATGATGAAGGCTCTTAAATTACTAATGTTCTACGCACTAACGTCTGGGAAAAAAAAGGTTATTAATACTTAAGTTCCGGCAGATATCGATAAGCTCTTATCATACGAATACGAAACTTACAACAGACGTTTCGTATTAAATGAGACCCTAAATCTCTCCAGTTCTTAACCTGAATCAAACTTCTATTTAAGCAAAATGTTCCTTAAGATTAGTGTTTATTTTTCATTAAGCATACGTAAAACTAAAACATGATATCCGTGTTCTTACACCCTAAACAAATTCAGCGACATATTGACATATTACAGACGTATTTAAATTAGTGAAAATAAACCACAAGCTTAGAAGTTGAAATTGAAAGTAATAATTGCCTGGTATTTTTCTCAGGATCACAAAAACTGGAAATGAAGCGATTACGTTCACGGCGCTGTGAAGTGTAAAATGATACGTAAGATCTTTATATAGATTTAGTTACTGGGGCCACATATTACATTCCAATCTAGTTGAAGACCACTGAACTAATTTCAATAACATTACTTTGAACTTCGGCAGTCAATTGAAAGACTGTTAATATCCTTTACCGTCCAGAGGGCAGTTCAGTGTTTCCGTTAAACGTGTCACTAGAGTGGAATCGACGATCGTTCATTTAAAACGGTCAAAATGTATATCGTAAATAAAAAATTATATTTAATCTTTATTTCAACAAATTGGTGCGTCGTTTTATATTACGAGTATGACAAATCACCTGACTATAGTACCCTTGTTACCTTCTCGTGAAAAAAAAAGCTTTATTAAAAGGTGCATTCTGCGTGAATTGTACAAAACCGTCCGCGTGTTTCAGATACTTGAGTTTCTAATAACAGATTAAGTAGCCACATTCACATTCCGCCTTCATCCATAGCTCGATTCATGTCTGCTACAATTCTTCCCAGGATATCCCTGTAATCAGAATCTTTTTTAAACACCGCATCCAAGAAATTTGGATTTGCAAAGAAACCAAACACATAATCGATTCTTGCGAGTGACTTGTCCGTGAGGTGTCGTTGGACGAGCTGTCGAATTGCTGCCCGCGACTCGTTCAGTGCAGATAACAGGTAATGTCGATCGTAGCTGAAGTCAACCTCGTAGAAACTGACAACTGCCATGGCAGCTGAATGGAAACGTCCTTTGAAACGTTCTGCTTGCTTCAGCTCATCGCTTGAGAACTGCCCATTCCGGTACAGCACGCCCAATTTAATAACCATTTTAATAATATTCTTCACTAGTTTCTCGGCCTCTTTCTTGTTTCCACTCTGCAATAATCCACATGTTGCATAATTAGCAAACTATGGTAAGTTTTTTTCATACTCCCAAAATGTTGACGAACAACTCGCAAACCATTTGCCACCTCCTCGAAGCGGAAGAAATTTGCATACGGCTACTTACGTAAGCTTTCGCAAGCTTGTAGACATTATCTAGAAGGCTGGCTGTAGTGTCATCGATAAACACCTTGGCGACATTCTTGTTTGCCATTCGACTCAGAATCTTTTTCTGGGCTCTCAGCCCAATATCCCGGGCTTTGAAACCTTCGGACATAACTGTGGACAATAATCACACGTACAGTTTAACACAAGAGTAGAACAATTGTACTTGAATGTCATGTTGTGTAATACTTATAATATGCTAAGATTTTTGGCAGTTCTCACAAACTATATCCTGTCGTGTAAGGATTATATATTACAAGAGTAGAAATGTTTACCCTCCAAATGCATTCTTTGCAACTATTTGAGGTCCTTCTTTAAAAAAAGTTGTCAGTGGAACCACGGTTCCGGAGAATTTGACGTAAATACGTCTATACGGAAAGGAAGTTTATATATTGGCTTTATTCTAAATATTTCCTTTATACATGCTTTACAATTGAGTAAAGTTTGATTAAGACATTGCTTAATCAACTTGAATTAGTTACGCTTAAGATGGGTCTGTGGTAGATGAATGTAATGTAAATGAAATGTAATGTAGGGTAATGTAATAAAATGTAATGTTTTATAGGTAACAACAATGCCGAGTAAACAGATGACGTTTCCTAGGTAACAATAATGCCGATTAAACAGACGACGTTCCCTAGGTAACAATAATGCCGAGTAAACAGACGACGTTCCCTAGGTAACCATTGTTACACTTTTTCGTTCCCCTTTTTCGTTACACTTCTTTGCCGAATGACCCTTCCTTATAGACGTATTTACGTCAAAAATTAAACGTGTCATTGCTGTCTCAAAAATGAAACCAGATTCTGTCAAATTCACCAACAAAACCAAATACTGGACTCCCGACAAATGCAGACATCACCAGACCCCACCATAAGTGCTACCGTAACCTCGTTTGCATCGGGCTTCAAAGCACGGTTACATATTTATAATATAACTTACAGATAGCTGGGCAATAAATAGAGAGCTACGTTCTACTGAGATGAAAAATCCAATATTTGCTTGCACAAAATGAAGAAAAAAACACAATAAAAAGGACCCAATGGAATGGTTATCGGCCTCGTAAACATAGCAGGTGGATAAGATATGTCTAAAGTAAATCTTTACACGGATAACCGCAAGTCTTTATAGCTCTAAAAATAGAAAAAAAATTATCAAGTCTTTACGCCGTGTGTCCCATAAGTCGTAAACCATAAGAGAACTCTGTTCTTTGACAAACTATTGAAAATCAAAAGCAAATCGTGCGTTTACAATCTCAAGTTTTGGAATTCTTTACCTAGGACGACCCGTTACGATACTACACTCTTTAAATCATCGACAATACAAAGTTATGGTGATGTTGCTAAGGCACTACTGCATTACTACTCTTTTTTAATTTTTCATTTTCACATTGTGTTTTCTTTTGTTTTTATGTTATTTCTATTCTGTATTTCTTCCTTTGGCATTATTTTATATGTCCTATGTTTAGAAGTGCGTGATTCTTCCTTGTTGTTGTTTTTTTTTAAATTTTCGAAAAGCATTCATGTTTTCTGTCACACCGTGTAAGCCTCCTGTAATTGGAAAGCTTCTCTGTTGGAGGCAAGTTAATAAATAAATAAGTAAATACAAGCCTTCATTAATGAGTTGCCACGGCATGTTCGTTAGAAGTTCTGTTCCTTAATCACTACGAACAGAAAATGCCTCTTCAAACTGCTGAAAGAACTAAGACGTCCAACCTAAACATAAAATCGATCATCTTGTTATCATGCCAGCAGAAGAATTTCAACACCTGCTGCAAAGACAAGCTCTTATTCTACCCCCTTTCTTCAAACTGCTCAATTACTGAACCACGTCTATTAGATTTAAATAAGCAAAAGTCTTTAATTAATTCCTCTAAAGGTAAGGTATTTTAATTCTATTTAATTACTTATAATTTAATAAAGTTATTTTATTTCATAGAGGAAGATAGAAGACTTAATCATTTTTTTCCGAAACGATAGAACGCATATAAAACGAAAGTCTATTGGGAAGACGTCTTTCGACAAATCACGTTCTCAGAAACATCTCACATCCACCAGTCGATTTCAGCAGTCGCCTCTATATTTCTTTTGCACAGTGCGTTTCCTTTACCCATTTTGTAACACTATATGTTACCAAATTTCCCGTCTTAGTTCTGCGCAATCTTCCCGCTGATAACAAGCAACGGCACACTTGTCTGTTGCCACAAACAATTTCGCCAACCGAGAACAAATGCAGTGGTATCTCAGTTAGCAGGAAGGACTTGGCTTTCGTGTGGTTTTCAGATGTAAACTCCAGGATGTCTGTGACGACGTACGTAACAACCCAAATAAACACCAGACTCGCTATTATATGGCTCGAACACTAACAGCAGACTGGTGAGAAATGTACAATTTTATCTCTAAGATTTGTGCTGTTCAGACAATATTAAAATCAAGGAAAATGAGATGGGCGCATATGAGAGACGAGAAATTTGTATTCTGGAAACCAGATGCCGTAAACAAACGGAAGTCAATGGAATAAAAAACTGAATTTTTGTTAGAAAGAATACAAGCCTAATTCTCTTCCAAGAGTTCACAAATGTAAATGAAACTTGCAAATTTTATAAGCAATAATAATATTAATAAATAGGATGCCCTAACCTCACTCTTTCTTCCACCGGCAAAATAAAATGTAGAGATTGAAGGACAGTGTCGAGAATTTCTTCGTAATTCACAGAAGTTAAGTACTTCAGTTATTGCGAAGGACTTTTAAAAGCACAAAAGTATCTCGTCTACAACACACTTCTTCTACAAGCGATTCAGAGCTCAACTATTTCTACACTGACGAAAGCGGATTGTTGATTAATGCGACAATGCCGAAGGAAACTACGATGTAACAATTGGTAAAGGAATGGAGTGCAATACGGTTTATTCAGTCTATTATACTGCATGCATAAGAAATGAGCCTTATGGCATGCTCTGTCAATATTGTTGCAGATGTGGTTTAGAAATTCCAAAACTTCTTATTACATTGTTGTACACGCAGTTGTTCATATAAAAGCTGACCGGGCGCCCTGATGACGGAGG